ATCCTGTGTTCCTCTTATTTGAATAATGATTTTACTGTATTTAAATGGCTTACTTAGATTAAAAAAAACTGTTGAAACTGCTCTTATTTCCAAGGTTATATTCTGACTTAGTACGCAATTCCAAATGCATTCTTAGAATTTTGTTTTAATAAAGCCAACAAGCAGATTTTTTATCAAAAGCATTTACGTATAGCAAGATCAACTTAGAAAAAAAAACTAAACCTTTGAAGATATATGTTGAAAACGTTCTCATATCATTGTCTATATTATTATAAAGATCTCATTAAGGACACAAGATGAGACACAATGCTGGTTGATTAGATTTTTAATTAATATAATGTATGTCCACTTAATTTCCATATTCATTTATTAACGACAGTAATGATTACAACCTGGTACAGTGGCTGCAAAGATTTCTGAGTGGTTAAGAGTCCACAATGCTCTTCCAGTGGATCTGAGTTTGATTAGCCAAAACCATATTAGGCAACACAAAACCATGTGTCAATCCAACTGCAGTGCATTTGGCACACTTTTTTGATGTCTATGGGCACTGAAATCATACTTATATTCCACAGATACACACACACACATATATGACAGCATGTATGTGCACACATGTGTATTTTTATGTATGATGTGCTGTGTGCTGGAGGTACTTTGGAAAGTGGAAGATGTGTGCATGTGTACTTTCATCTATGTAACTTCAAGCTGCTCACTACAATGGGGAAGGTTGTTCATTTGATCTCAAATATATTTGACTTTATATGCTGATATTAAATGCATAACCATTCATTAGATCTTGTGCCTGTATTAATAGATCAGGTGATTCCCAACTGCATATTTTTATTAGCTATGGCCTATGCTTGTTTACTTAATCTAAGTTGTTCTGTAGGAAGATTAAACACATCTAGTTGAAGATAACTTAACTGGAACTTGGATTGGTTCAAATTTAAACATCTTTCTGCCACAATTATGATAAGGAAAAAATACCTCAGAAATGAAAGTCTTAACACTATACAGTAGTTACACTGTGGTGTTCTATTTGAGACTTTGAAAGTCTGAAACAAAGTGTTCCTATATATATACCTTGTGGAGTTTATCAGGCTATCCTGTGGTTTTAACTCCTTAAATATGTTCCAGGCCCCATCTTTTCTCTTTTAATCCTTAATGCCTATAAATAAACAGCCAAGAAGTGCCAGTCTGATAAAACACTTCCTGAAGACTTGCTTTTTAATTAATTAGTTTAACTTCTAAATTATTTAGTAAGGCTTCTAAACGTGGAACTCCCTCCCACCAATTGCAAACTACAGAATCTGTAAATATTATTTGGACTGTGGGTTATTTGTTTTATCTTAACTCGGAGTATGGTTTAGTCAAAAATGAAGAAAAATATACCCATTATATAAATTTTATTAGGTTTTTGTTTTGTGGTAAGCTTATTTTATTCTTAAAATTATCTCATGGATTTATCATGGTTGGCTCTGGTAGTTTTGCCAATTAAAAAACATAACACAACCACTTTTCATTTTTGAAGGATAGTCATTTATTGATATTAAATAGAAGGGGTTAAACAAAATATAAATAATTGAGTTTTGGTCATAAGTTAAAGTGACTTACCTATATATTTTTATGATTTAATGCCTTTAAAGAAAAAGATAAAGTGAAAAATAGTTTAGAGAATTTAATATATCTTCTTACATCTTTTACAATAAGAGGGTAGGAGGAGAAGAGGAGGGAAGAGAGGGAAGGTAAAGGAGAACAAGAGAGAATGGGATGGTCGAGATGGAGGAAGAACAGAAATGAGAGCAAGGAGAGTGATATCTTAATTGAGGGAGCCATTATGAGGTTAGCAGAAACCTGGCTCTAGAGAAATTCCCAGGAATCCAAAAGGAGGACCCTATCTAGGGCCCTGGGAAATAGAGGAGAGGGGGTCCGATCTAGATTTCCCCTTTAGTCAGACTGATGGTAATCTTGAATATCACCATAGAGCCTTCATCCAGCAAGTGATGGAGGCAGAGGCACAGACCCACATCGGGCACTGGACTGAGCTCCCAAAGTTCAGTTGAAGAGTGGGAGGAATGAGAATATGAACAAAGCGGTCAAGAACATGATAGGTACACCCCCTGAAACAGGTTGCCTGAGCTAATGGGAGCTCACCAACTCCAGCCAGACTGGGAAGAAATAAGCATAGGACCAAACTAGTTCTTCTAAATGTGCCTGACAGTTGCATCGCTAGGGCAGACTAAGATGCCCCTGGAAGTGGCACCAGGATTTATCCCTACTGCATGAACTGGCTTTTTGGGATCCTATTCTCTTTGAATGTATACCTTGCTCAGCCTAGATACAGTAGGGAGGGCCTTGGACCTTCCACAAGACACTGTGCCTTACCCATTCTGAGGATTCGATGGGGTGAGGTAGAGGGTGTGTGGAGGGAATGGGAAGAAGGGAGGGAGTGAGAACTTGGATTGGTAATTTAAAAAAAATCTAATAAATAAAAAAGAAGGAAAAAAGAATAATGCTATGATTCACAAATGACCAGACAATAATGTATATTTTAATATGAGTATGTTATTTTTGGGACACACTGCCTCCTATAAGGTAATTGCATTTGAAACAATAATACTCTTCATTATTTTTCTACTTCTAAATAAATTTATTAAAATCAAAATATGTGCACTTAAGTAAATTAATGAAATTTGTCTGTGGTTCAGAATTCTCATCATAGTTGCATAAGTAGTTGGGTGAACATGGACTTTATTGTGTGGTTTCCAAGTCACAGTATAAGTGAAGCTCTCAGTTGATTGTTTCCTTTTACTCTGAGTTTGAACTTCACACCTCCATTACTCTTTTAAACACTTGAGAATTCCAGTCAGGTTTTAATGGGCACTGAAAACCAAGCCAACAATCAAAACCACTGCTATGGATAAGGAAGTGTAGAATAATTGCAGTCTGTTTGACCCCTCTGATCTTCATAGTCTTCCATGAGCTTCTTAGAGATTCATCAAACACACAGGAAGAAATCTCTGAGTTAGCTTGGTTTGCAAAGTAATAGATCTGGGAGAAATATATAGGAATTAAATATGTGATTCAGCCAGTTCAATCCTGTTTTGAAGGGACCTCATAAAGAGTGAAGATTAGTCATGGATGGCGGTGCACAGTTGTAATCTTACCACTCAGGAAGCTAAGGCAGGGGAATCATAAGTTCCGAACCAATTCCTAGGCTCCATAGTGAGATCATGTATTAAAAAGAAAAACAATATTATTAAATCATAACTCTTGGTTAAACTAATGCCCCTATTGCTCATGTACGAATCACTGGGAGTCATCAAGATTGACAGTGGTAAGACATGTGTAAATAGAATTGTCTTTAATGTTCGATATTTTCCTCAGGAGACAGCCCCTGCGTAATGTCCAACCACATATTTCCATGGAATTTTTAATGTAGAAATAGAAGTTCTTCATTTCCCAGGTTTTTTGCTTTTCTGTCACTCTTGCCAGCTGGTGAGAGAAGAAACTAGTGAAGAGACACACATCAAGAAAAGTAACTGTTGGGTGAAAATATCAAAAGTAAATATTATGCAGAAAAACAGCAAATCCATCCCACTGAGTTTGAATGTTTCACTTGGACTAGCAGGGTTCTACACTTCCTCAATACTGAAATAAGATGAGGAAAAAGAGGACCGTTTTTGTTCTATGCAAAACCATAAATGTCCCTAAAATACGGTCAACAAACAAAACATGATTCTTACATTTTTAATATATATAATGTCAAATTAGAAGTCTTTTAAAATGAGTGAGTATTCACCGGTGTGTGAAGTAGTTAGTAGAAAAAATACGTTTTGGTTTGAAATTCCATAGTATTTCCTATGATATATATTTAACTGAAATGTAAAAAATATATCACTAAACACACAAAAACACATTACAATGAAAGGTTTGTGTCTTTGTACAATTTAATTTTCTCAAGAGTCTTTTATATCTTTAAGAGATTCTATTTAAAAAATATATAGTTGAATTATAGCTACATTTCAGTAAGGTTTTTGATGTCAGGAAGAAACTTTAGGATGGATGACTTTTTAAGAATTTCTGCAGTTTCATACGACAATACAACAGTCATAATCTTTAAAACATATTTTATTTGTGGAAGTAGTTACACAACTTTTTTCATGAGTGCTTTAGAATTTCAAGGACTAATTTATGATTATCCAGTATCATTATTTCTTGTCTATCTTTGAGCAATAGTTTATCTTGAAAATATAAGAAATTCTTTTAGGGAATATAGCAATATAGAATAGGTTCTTGTGAAGGTAGAGATATGTAATATAAAATGATTTATTGTAGAAGGCATGAACATGAAGAAAATCATTTTCTATTTGCCATCTATTGGGGCTTCATAGTCAAATATTTGTTAGGAAATATCATGTTTCAGACTGGGTTATTTGCTATGCCATATAAAAGGAATGTATTTCAAAACTATGACTGCCTAAAGTTCATAGATAATGCTTTACATAAAGAATGTAGTTTTACTAAAAGGAAAAAAAAATAATTTTAGAAAACAGTAAGAAGCAATCAACTTTAAAGTTCTGTCTTGCTAAAATACACTGGAAGAACACCTGAAGAGTAAAATCTTCTAATCGCTTCTTGACATCATTTATATAGCTTGAGGAAAGATTTATTTTACACAAAATTTATGAGCATGTGGCATAAAGACATACTTCAAATTATAATAAATATATCTCTGTCACTATCACCCCAACATATGATTCAGTGTTTTCTCCTACCTTTCAATTTTCAAAGCAATATTGGTAATAAACAACCCATTAGTGATACCCTTGTGTTCCAAAGATGTGGTGGATTGTCTGTCTCCGGGATACACATTGTCACTTTTGAGAAGAGGTTCTCAAACAGAGGTGATGTTGCTAGGTCTTTGGCAATATCAGGGAATATTGCTGTGGCTGAAGACTGGAGATGCTACTGCTATCTAGGAAGAGAGATCAGGCATGGTACTAAATATTGAAAATGAAGTAACCTCTACAACAGATTTGTAAACAGCCCCAAAGGTCAATAGTGCCACTGCCAAGGTCGTATTCTAGAGGTAAAATTATACTCAGCAACAGTTCATTAGAACGAACTTCTCCTTTACTTATTTAAATTAATAAAAGGAATTTTAAATATTCCCACTCCATTGTCTTAGTGTGTGTTCCTCATTCCTTATTCAGTAATCCAATTTGTTTTCACTAAATGGCATGCTACAGTTGTTCTTCTCCAAAAAATTAATTGCTTGTGCATGGTTTAAAATCAAAACAAAACAAAACGTGCAGCTTACAATGTTAAGGGCATTATTAGAGCCCTGGCGGCTTTTTATTTGCTTTTCTTCACAATGACTAGATTCATGAGGCGTGGAAAACACCTCATGCATTTGCTCTTTCCCTCTGTCTTTCTCTCTTCATACTTTATTTTTATTTTTTATTCTGGTTGGCAGAACTCCACTGATAGCAGCCGGAGTCATTGGCGGGCTCTTCATCCTGGTCATCATGGCTCTGACATTTGCAGTTTACGTCAGAAGAAAAAGTATCAAAAAGAAACGAGCCTTGAGGCGATTTCTGGAGACAGAGGTAGCGATTTCACTACTGTTTCTCATAAAATTGGGGGTTTTCTTTAAATTTTACAGACCATACGCTGTTTTCTGAAAGCATTGAAAAGATGGCTTAGTTTTGGATGAGGTTGTATGCTATACCTTTGTACAAAGTTGGTGAAGACAGACTATATTATAAAAGTAGTTAAGATAGTAGAGTCAGAGCTCAATGAGAACAGAATGGACGGGTCCAGTGATTCTGTTGAAATAAAAAAAAAGACTTATTTTGGTTGTGGAGACACCCATTAGAGTCTCTGGGTAAAAGATAGCTCAGTAGCAGCATACCCTCAGCATAGCCTGAGGAGAGGACATCTCAGTGGTAGAACTAGACATATGTTAGAAATCAATAGAAATTCCCTGATTGAAAGTAAAAGCTAAATACATTTTAATTAGGATCATTAAATTGCCAGCCAATTATTAGCTCCACCTGCAGTGAAAGACCGAGCTTTAAAACTGAAATAACATGAAACTTTTGCTGCAGCTGAAGAGGCACACTTAATCTTGTGTATTACATGTTGAGGTTACACAATTTATCCATTAATTATCAGCATTTCGATTATGTCCCCCACCCCATCGTGGCTTCTTTTGCATGCAGCTGATAGTTTGCAGTATATAGGAGACAAGAGAAGAAACTATCACAGGAGATTTTGCACAAGCAGAGCTTTGAGTCCCATCCTACCTCATTCTCTGGATACTCCTATCTGGATCTGCCTGAACAATTCAGAGGAATTCTGTGTGTCATTCAGACTATATTTCCTATTTTGTTGTCAAAATGGCCATCAGGCTGTTCTTCCACTCCTAAGATGATCAGGAATAGAGATACTCAATTCTTCATAAATGGGACAGACTGGAAATGGGTTATGTCTTAGTACTTTTGCCTTCAGAAGTTTCCAAACAGAAAACCATTGCATGACACATGCTAAGGTTACTTACCAACATATATCCCATATAAAAACTTAGATATTATTGTCCAATGTGCTGAAACCTCCTCACCAATTCTAATTGGTTCTAATTCTAGAATTCTAATTGCATGTGTTCTAAGTTTAAAATGACTTATTTCTTTTATTTTTTTTCAAGATAGGGTTTCTCTGTAGCTTTGGAGACTGTCCTGGAAATTACTCTTTAGACCAAGTTAGACTCGAACTCTCAGATCTGCCTGCCTCTTCCTCCTGAATACTGAAATTCAAGGCACCACCACCTGCCTTAAAATGATTTCTATATTAAATTGTTTATAGAGTCATTTAAGTTACTCATAGCGCTGATGAGATAGTTCTTTCAGTAAAGTGCTTGCCTTGTAAGCATGAGGGCTTGAATTCGATCCATGGAACTCATAAAAACTAGTCATGGCAATGGTGGTATGTACTTATAATCCCAGGACAGGTAGAGATGGATCCCTTGGACTCACTGGTGAGACACCTTCTCGTACTTGACATATTCGAAATCTGTAAAAGAGTATCCACCAAAAACATGGAGAGTGACTGAAGTATGTTAGGTTGTCCTCTGGACTACCAACCACATAAACATCCACCTCTCTCTCTCTCTCTCTTTCTCTCTCTCTCTCTCTCTCTCTCTCTCTCTCTCACACACACACACACACACACACACACACACACACATTTAAAATCATACATAGCATCTAAAAAAATATGCCAATCAGCTCCTGATAGGGGACTTACAATGGAGGGAAATCTTGGAAAGAGGATTTTTAAATGTAAAAGTCAATGATTCTTTCTGAGATACTCTTACTTGACTTCAAGAAAATTCTTAAAAAACTAATTTATATTTTTATAATTTAAATTGTGAAAATGAAAGAATAGTAGATTAGTTGTCAAACTATTGGGAAACAGACTAATTTTGATTACTTTTACCGTGCTTTCCCCCACATCCTTGCTCACTCTTTACCCACTGAACTTAGGACTGCTTCACTGCTTCAGTAGGCCATGATGTTCAAAGAAGCATGATGGTAACAGCCAGACAGGAGGTCCACGGCACAATCAGCCTTGTAAACAGACATTTTGAGTACCGTGGCGAGTTTAGACAATTTGAGTAGTAGAAGCCTTTAATTATATCTTAATGCAGAGAATAAAATAGACTGTTGTTTAAAGTTTAGTTCCTTTTAAACTAAAAAGAACAGTATTTTTAAAGCCTTGCCTGCTATTTCTCTGATTTGAACATGAATTTTAACATGAACTGCTATCGAAAGATGTAGACTTTGTGTTCCCCAAGCCTCGGAAGTACACCCAGCAGACTTCTTTTTTTTCCCAGTTTGACCACTGTCAGTTTTTCTAATTCTAATTCCTCTTTTTTTATTACTTTATAAATAATACCAATCAAAATTCTCACTTCCTCCCCTCATCCCACTTCCCTCCACTCCCCCATACACCCTCTTACCCACCCCTCCAGTACTAAGAGAGGACAAGGCACCCTGCCCTGTGGGAAGTCCAAGGCCCTCCCCCGTAGTACATCCAGGCTTAGGAAGGTGTTCATCCAAATAGACTAGGATTCCAAAAACCCAGTACATGCAGTAGAGACAAATCCCAGTGCCATTATCATTGGCCCCTCATTCTGCCCCAATTGTCAGCCACATTCAGACGGTCCAGTTTGATCACATGCTCGTTCAGTCCCAGTCCAGCTGGAGGTTGTGAACTCCCGTTAGCTCAGGCACACTGTCTCAGTGGGAGGACCAACCCCTCATGGTACTGACTTCCTCGCTCATCTTCTCCCTCCTTCTGCTCTTCAACTGGACCTTGGGAGCTCAGTCCAGTGCTCCGATGTGGGTCTCTGTCTCCATCTGTCATTGGTCAAAGGTTCTATGGTGATATTCAAGATAGTCATCAGTCTGACTATGGAACAAAACCAGTTCAGGCACCCTCTCCTCCGCTACTCAGGGTCCTAGCTATGGTCATTCCCGTGGACTCCTGGGAACCCCTTCAGAGCCAAGCCTCTTACCGACTTTAAAATTGTTCCCTCAATTAAGATATCTCCTTCCCTGCTCCCATAACCATCCTTCCTCCTTCTCAACCACCCCACTCCCCCAAACTCTCCCCAACCCTCCCCTTCCCCCTCTCTCTCCCCCCTCCCCTTCCCTCTACACCCCTGCACCCATGCTCCCAACTTTTGCCTGGTGATCTTGACTGCTTCCAATTTCCAGGAAGATCTATATATGTTTTTCTTTGGGTTCACCTTATTACTTAGCTTCTCTAGGATCATGAACTATACGTTCAATGTCCTTTGTTTATTGCTAGAATCCACCAAGCATAGTAGATTTTTTGATCCCAGAGTGATGTATTCTCAAAACAACAGATGTTTGAGACTATAGATAATGACTAATGTTTATATCTATGATGTTTGTTCCTCTACATACATAACTTTGATTGAGTTTGATTGATACATTGAACACAAAAAGATAATTACAGTTCCTATTTATCAAATAAATTAGTTACTTTAACAAAAATATTCTAAACTTATGAATTTTTCTGAAAAATTCCAATTATTATTTTCCAAATATAGTTGGACAAAGGTAGCTGAGGTTTCAGACAGAGCCACTGTGGCTAAGGTGTGAGACCTTTAGACACTCTTGCCTATTCCAGTTCACATCTCCTTCCTTCATGCAGTCAAATGCTTCAGCTGAATGGTATCCTAACTACATCAATAAACTTCAGCCTAATTTTATGCTTTGACCACATTCAGCCCTCTTCCTGATCTGAGGCTTCCTACTCTCATCTCACCGTTAATATTTAACTCACATCTGATGTATTTTATATCTGTATCCTTCTCTCCTTCTGAGACTGACTCCCAACTCCTTACTTGGCAAACGGTCTCTTAATGTCACTCTATTGCCATGACCTCAAGTCTGATATAATATATAGCTCACTTAAAAGCCAGAATTAGGAAGCCTTCATCCCCATTCTTGTCATTGAATGCCTTTGTGTCGGAAAACAGCTTACAGTCCAGAACCAAACTGTGTACTCATCATGCTACATAAATTGAGTTCAGCACTCACCATCATAAATAGATACCACCTTATGGTCCACAAAAAATTCAAAATTTCAGGCCTACTCAGACAAGGATTGAGATGTGACAAGAATCTTATATATTTGATTTTTTTGGTTGCCCAAAGAATCAACATTGTGCTAACTAGTATCCCCTTCTGATATGATCATGATAGCTTTGCATTAATTTCTGATTTTGTTGTACTTTCGTATTCTTTTATTTTGTCTCTGTATTTTTAACCAGTGTGCCTCTGGTAGAATATATGCAAAACTTGAATTCACCCAGACAAAGAACAGGTGCGTAGAGAGCATAGGACTGTGGCTGATACTGCGAAAGTTTGTTGGAGAAACATACCCTAGCGTAGCACTTTCATTAAACATGTTAGAAATGGACAGAAGGAAGAAGCAGAAGTGAGTGTGGATGAAAGGTCCGTAATCCCACGCCTTTGCTTTGCAGTTGGTAGAGCCCTTAACCCCCAGTGGCACAGCACCCAATCAAGCTCAACTGCGCATTTTGAAGGAAACAGAACTAAAGAGGGTAAAAGTCCTTGGCTCAGGAGCTTTTGGAACCGTTTATAAGGTAAGCAAGAACACAGTACGTGTCTCCAGTTATTCAAGCTTTTAAAAAATAATAGCCAAGGTAATTGTTTTAGCCAACCTAATTTCCTTTTAATATTCAAAGAGAGGGATCATGTAATATTGAGACGTTGCTGGACGGATGAATTCTTTAACTTTTCTGAACAAGTTTGGATAAGTGTCGTGTTCAGAGAAGGGGAGAACTATAGATACTCACCAAAGTGGAGTGCATTCAGGGCCCTTTGAGCCCCTTTCAATATTGCCTTCTCTTTCACAAATTTCGACTTGTTTCCCAAACACTCAACCACAACCTGCTTCCTCCCCCC